AAACCTGTTTCTCCATCACCTGTTCAGCTCTGATGATTCAGTAAGGACATCTCCTGGTTTCATCTTCATGCTTCCCTCTCACCACATATCCAAACCGATATCATGATCAGCAGTGTTTATGGCTGTGGTTCCAGCAAACATCAGCTGATACTAGAAAGTAATATTAAATAAATTCTAACAACAGCTGATCAAGCTTAAACGTGCTGCTGTTGTTTAGCGCAACATTTCCTCTTTCTGGCACAAAGTGAGCGATAAACAAACGAGAGAGAAAAGCCGATCAGCTGATCATTGATCAGTTTCATGATTGAAGTAGCAACAGGAGAGTGAGGGAGAGAGAATAAGAGAAGAAGAGACCGCTTTGTGTCTTTTTCATTGTAGCTGAAGTACCGGACAAACTGCATTCCTTTTCACCTCAATACGAAACACGAAACATATTCACAGAAAATAAGACGATTCCGTTTTTTTAACGGGATGGTTGGCAACTAATAATTAACCTTATGAATAAAATAAAGTTCAACATCAGAAACATCATAGCACCCACCCAGCTGTATAGAAACTCCGTCATGCTAGCTAGTACACCGTATGAAAAAGTCAGCATAACGAAAATAAACTCCACCTAAACTTGGTTTATATCTGACCCAGATAGACTGCAGGTCATAACTTCTTACCTGAAGTTCAGTTCACCTGACACCAGCGGCCGCCTCGGTCCGCCTCGCCCTTTCCCTCATCCACCTGCTGGCCTCCACCACTTGCTAATGCTACTGAATCTGTGGAAGCTCCACGATAGCCACCACACGAAGTAACGAATAACGACCCTATCTAAATCCCAGTAACGATTAACGCGTTCCTGATTTTGGCATAATAACTAGTTACTAGGGGTGGGGGAAAAAAATCGATACTGTGTAGTATCGTGATATTTTGCTTGCTAATAATGTATCGATACAGGGACAGCAGAAATCGATATTTTGTTACAAAAAAAAGGTTTTTGTGCTCTGACTTCAGAGCATGTTGATCCTTTTTCTGAGCAAGAATCCTGACATTCGTTCACTGTCCAAATGTGTTTAACTTTTTTTTGGCAGCAATAAACATGACAGTTTACTTATTTTAACTTAATTAAAATAAAACATGTCTTAAATTAAGTTTAAAACTTTTTTATTTTATGTAAAATTATATTTTGTTTTAATTTACTTTCAAATTCTTCAGTTGCTGAAGGGGCTGCATAGTTTTCATATTGCATAGTTCAGAATAGCTATAATTGTACCAGATGGTTGCATTCAGTTAAGTTGGACTAGACTGTAATACAAACCGTTCAGTTTGTCAACAATAAAACTGACTGAAATGAGAGAAAGACTGAGTGTGAGACTTTGATATTAAATAAAATGAATATTGATAAAGTTTACCTTTATGTACAGAATCTGAATATCGCAAAATATTTTTAAAAAATTGAATATCGTATCGTGCGTTAAGTATTGTGATAATATCGTATCGTGGGATGTATGGTGAGTCCCACATCTACTAGTTACCGTGCTCGTTACCACAATAATAACGTAGTTACTGTAACGCGTTACTTAATAACGTGTTAGTCCCAACACTGGTACCTACTCAGATCAGCTTGACGGGACTCGAGGCAGTACGACTCATTTTTCACCGCAATTAAGTACCACCTTGCGTGGGGTCGTTATAGCAATGCGGCTGAACATCCTGTGACGTCATTTGTATGTGACACGAACACCACAACAAAGGTGGACGTTGAGATGACATATTTAGACTTGTTCAAAACAGCTGATGAGATCAGGATTCTTTGCCAAAACTTTTGTAGTTTCAACCTCAGCTCTAATCTTCAGAAGAAGAAAAAACCCTCAGCAACTTAACTTAGTCTGCACTCTGTAGCACTACTCCAAAATGGGAACTAACACTAATACACACACAAAACAAAAACCCCCCGCTTAGAATACACTCCACTGACAATGGGAACCAGAGAAATACCACAAACGGTACAATTTAACCTTAAATGAACGTTGTATCACATGTTTAGCGCACAAGCGGGCTACATTTCTTATGACCTAAAAGAGGTGAAGCGCCCTCCTCTCCAACATCAAACAGCAGCAGCATAATGTGCTGCACATCTTAGCCTTAAATTCTCTAGACACCACCACTCGCAGATATTTCACAAAAGGCCGGCCATTAGTTACAGACGTTCAAGGTTCTTGACTGTAGTAGTTAAAGGGTTTAAGCGTCTGGATGAGGAGGTGGTTATATTTTGGTGAGCCGATCATTATTTACATTGAAAACGCAGCACATACTGCTCGACTAAAAATCTGGTAGTTGAGGTAAATGTACTGTTGGACAGAAAATATAATTTAGGGGTAAACAGCTGCCTTAAAACCTTTTTCATGTGATTGATATCTTACACAAAGCCATAAACATCTCTTTATTTGGAAAAAAGCTGTATATACTGAACAGAGACATGGAGCACACATGTTAAAAACTAACAGCTTTAAGTGAACTCTCTCTAGGCCAACACCCAGCATCGCTACACGTACATTTTAAAAGAGGCCTTGGAGGCACAAAGAGCATTCAAGTGCATTTAGGGAGGTCTGCGGGAAGAAATGCTTCCCCTGCTTTCTTCATTATCCCGCATCAGGGAGGGCTTCTGTCTCTCTCACACCACACGTACATAAAATGTAGTTCTCTACTTCTTCTACACACAGTCTTCACATCCTCTTCCCCCTATCCATACCACTCCACTTAATATGTGATATCATTATGGTTAGATGGAGAGCCATGCTTAATGGCAACAAGAGATGGAGAAGGCTGGATCTAAGAAGAGATTACTAAGAGTGCTACAACGTATGCGGACTGGATAGGGTGGATGAAGGAACAGACAGAGTACAAATGTAACCAGTGTTGAACAGAAGAGAAAAAGACTGAAAGGACAGAAGATTTCAAGAAATGGAATACATGAAAGTCTCTTACAGAAACAAAAACGACCTCAGCGTTAGAAGGACAGACCTGGCAACATTAACATATCTAGATCTCTCATCTCTTAACTTTTATGAGCCCAACGGTCTGGAGTATTTGGTGAAGCCCGAGTCCAGGATTGGCTTAATTATTGACCATTCATGGCAGGTTAGATGCTTGAAAAGCACAGATTGGACTGCTTTGGGTTCAATCTGTGCTTTTATTGGGTTAGCAAGTAGGAAAAGTTTGTTACTTGATGATAAAGCCAACTGAATGTTGCTTTTGAACCACTCATGTTTCAGGGCTCTACTCAGTAATCTTCACTATATTTTTTAAAACCTTTTTGGCCGACAAATGTGCAGCTACAGACTCCTTTCAAGGTTGGAATTACTTCTAAAGCACAGTGCGTTATTCTGCATTTGGACAAAAAAAGGGTTTGTTTACATTATTCACTTTAAATACAAGGTTTTAATGTGTCATGTGACTACCAAGAGTGCAGAGATGCTTTACAGCGGAGGACAAGAGCTCGGTCTGAGGCTCCACTGTGTGTTGTAGGAGTTTCTGACAGAAGGAGTTTGTCAGGCATGATGGGGGGGGAGGGGTAAAGGAAGAATATAAACACTTACACAAGAAACAAAATTTCTTATGCTAATTACTACTTAGCATTAGCTATAAAGGACAATCCACATATTCTCACATCTCATAGCAAGACTGTTGTAAAGTTGAAAAGGCGTGTTAAATGTGTGTCTTACCAGCATTTTCGGAGAGCGAGGAGAAGTCCTCTCTGGGGTAGGAGGCTGAAGGCTGGATGAACATCCCCTCATCAAATCCCTCTTCAGGCTCTGGTGGGAAATTGTAGACAAACCGCCGTGTTGTAGCTTGTTTTTTCCTCCGTCCACTTCCAGCTGCAGCATCTGGTGCCTCTCGCTTTATTGCTGCGGGTGATGCGGCCGTGCCGCCTGTGGCTGGCTCGTTCCAGACGAAGACCCGCGTCTGGCCACTCGTCGCCCGCATTTCATTGGTCTCTGCTGAATCAGATGAGTTGTCGTGGTGGGTCCAGCTACCAGAGGCTCCGGGGGTTACCAGGGCACAGCCCTCACCCCCGACCACTGTCACCTCTATATCACTCGTCTCCTCTTTCACGCGGCCATTTTCATCATCTTCTTCCATTGCCTCCTTCCCTTGATTGCTGCTGGCCTTGATTGATAGCTTTGACAGGATGCTTGTCGCCCAGAAGTTACTTGGCTTACGGTCTAGCCCCCTTTGCCCCTCTTTGGCCACCATCTGCCTCTTGTTGTAGTCCACCACCACGGAATCGGGAGCTTCTTGCTTGATGCTGATGTTCAGAGCATCCTTTATAAAAGCCCTACAAGAATGTACAACCTCTGTCATCTGGAGGTAACTAGCAACTGACATCACCTCAATGGCATTTTGGCTTGTGAGCAGCAGATTCCCAGAGTAGAGAAAGTCGAGGATGACCGAGAAGCCCTGCACAGCAGCAACATCTAGGTGTGTGACCGTGGTCTGGTCCTGGGTCTCGCTCTTGGTCAGACAGTAGAGGGTTTTGAAGTAGCGGCTGCCTGCGACCAGGATATTTTTGTGCGCGCGGAACACCTGGCCCGAGACGACAATGTTGACGTCACAGAGGATGCCACTTTTGCGTTGCTTGTCCAGCTCTTGTAGAAGCTGGTAACAGTAGGAGTTCTCGTTGGGCTTGTTGCGGTAGTCTTCCTCTGTGCAGTTAGTGGAGGGGCTGGTGTTGTCCGAGGGCCTCAGTGTCTCCTTTTAAGCAAGAAGGAAGAAGAAAAAAAAAAAAAAGTATTTTAAAAAACTGTGTGTGCCCACACAAGTAATTTGCAAGCGCAAGCATAAATGCAATCGTACACAAATGTTTTCCCTTCCTGTAAGTCCTGTCTTTACAAAAAACAAATACACCCACTGGGTTCCCAACGACACTGTTGCACCTGTCCTGGGGGTGAAACTGGTTTGACAGGCTGCTGTTAACGGGGAGGTGGGAATGACGGAAGGCAAGGTCCAGTACTTTAAGGCTAGGTAACACACTAATGTCAATGTGTTTTCTAAACCAAATTCCACAGCTGCAAATGTAAACATAAAACACAACCACATATTAATAAACACGAGAAATGACTGTATTCAACCATCACAAACAAAAGTAACACATCTTATTCTATGTACCAATAGAATGCCTGCAAAAACCTGAACATGACGCCATATTTGAGCACGATGGCATGTTTGTTCAGCTAAAGCAAGCGTTACAAAAACTTAACACGTTTCTGAGGTAAGCATTAGTGACCAATCAGGCACAGATCAAGTCAAATATCTGACTGATTCAACTCCTGCCAGATGTTGTGTTCCAAGTAAGCGGAAAACTCAAGGACTGAATGAAAGTGCAAATAGAGAATACAGTTCCTTGAATGGCCACTAAAGACTGGCTCAGTGAGAGAGACACACGTTAAATGCCTGTATTAAAATGTTGACATGTATGGAATGAATTTTCTTTTTAATAACTTAAATAATTTCATATTGATAAGGCTTAAAACCATGGTTATAGTCGCCATGACTCCCAGGTGTTAACAATACACCTCCTGAAGTTCCCCTCCTTAGGGTACGTCCCCACTAGCCCTGATAGATTTGAAAACTGTGTTTTCATCTGAAAAGGCTCCGCGTCCACACCAGCGTTTTCAGTCATTTTCACAGAGTTGTGCGTCCACATTGAAACGGCCCAAAACGCTTACGTTCCAGTCATGCGCAAAAGCCATTGAGAATTAAAGAACTTGAAGAAAAGCTATCTGGAGCAATCAAAACAACCGCTGTATAACGCACTCTGCTATCTTTGTTTATTTGGTCACGTGACTGCGTCACATGACTAAAATGAGTCATCGTTTTAGAAAGTCTGCGTTTTCGTGTGTCCACACTGCGACGGGACAGCTGCGTTTTGAAATGCATGCGTTTTTCCTTGAGGAAAGCGCCGTCTTAGTGTGGACAGGAGGTCAAAGCGGAGAGAAAACTGGACGTAGCCTCAGTCTTTGCTCCCTTTGGAGATTCTCAATGCAGTCATTTCAAGAATTAACATGACTTACTTAACAAGTGTGTCTCAGTTTTGGTAAGCAAGATTCTACCCTTCTGTTGTAGGATATGTGTCTCTGCAATGAACCTACACAATCTTTGAAATCAGCTTGCTAACTGTAGCATTAGCTGATAACTTATCAGTCCACCCTTTCACCTAAACACGGTCACTCCCGGCCTCAGAAAGAAAAAAAGATGGCGATGGCTATAAAAGAAAAAAGAAAAGTAGAGCCTTCAAAATGCAGAATCTACAAACCGATGGGTGAGATCACTGCTGCCACATTCGTCTTTTAGATACAGACCGTGGTTTCAAAAAGGGAAGAAAACAAACACATAACATTAACACTACACAGAGAATGAAACAAATGGACTTTCAGTGACCCCTATATACACTCGCATGGATAAGAATAATTCTGGATTAAGACCTCTATCCATTTGTATGTCCTGATAACACAGTTTGAGGTACCATTAAGAAGCTAGCCATAACTGTGCTAGGAGCATTTTTGAAATGTCTCAATGTCTTGAGTTTGTTTTATTTTTTTCTCCCCCTTCATTAAAACATGTTTTCTTTCCATTTATATTCTTTAGTTAGTTTCTACTACAGATTCACAGGATTCAACGTTTTGCACATATTCTGTTTCTAAACAGCTAAATTCTGTCACTTGATGAACAGGAAATAGGCCATAAATAGACCAGGAGGCCTGAGAAGTATCCAAAAAAAGCATGGGAGGGGTACAGGCAAAGGCATCAAACCCCACTCACCTGGAAAGAGTTGAAGGGCAAAGAGCCAGACTAACACAGAGCAGGAGAAAGAGGCGTGTATAGAGATGTGCATGCATATGCTTAATGCAAACATCACATAACACACAGTCTGGGGTGAAGTAAATGCATATATACTCACAGACAAAATACAATGCGCCCCCCTCCCCCCAAAAAAGTATGTATGTATGTATGTATGTATGTATGTATGTATGTATACACACAAAAATCATAAACCCAGAACATGTATGTCAGTTTTCCCACATGATGTACACAAGCAGGGCATACATCTCTGGCTCATTTTAGAATTGCAGAGCAGATGTCCTAATCCAGAATAATTCACATTGCTCAAGCCCTGCATTTTTGCCCCCACCCATCACCATCTCGCCAGCGCGCGTGCACATCCACACACAAACACACACACTGCCTACACGTACAGCTGGGGTTTCAGCTCGAGTAATTCAGATTAAATCCATTTCTCTGAGGTCCCCACCCAGCCCCCACCCACCACCCCTACTCGCTCCACACTGCAGCTCTTGTCCAGGGCAGCCTGGTCACAGTATAGGGGGGCTTATCATCCTCTGCCACAGCTGGAGGGAGAGAGATGGGATGGAATAAAACGAAAGGCAGAATGAGGGAGAGATAGGAGGGGTTGACTTTGCAAACCACATAAATAAATGGAGGATGCACAGAGAGCACATTAGGAGACAAGAAAGCTGCACTGCACAATCCTGGTGGGGAAAAAAAACCAAAAACGTAGAAACAGAGCTGACAGAAATATATGAAAAGAAGCTGAGAATTTGCTGATAACACACACACACTCCAAGAAAATGAATAAAAGGCAGAGCTTGAGAGAGCAGTGAGAGAAAGGGCGGAGGAGAAAATGTCGAGCAGAGGGGGACAGAAAGCGAGCGTGATAGAGAAGGAGTTGGGTCACCCCATTTTAGCCTTCACAATAGCTCGTGTTCTCCCCGAGGCTTATTGTCCACTCACTGTGGGCCTTTGTGAAAAGGCTCGGCACTCACTCTTATTACACAGCAGCTCCCACTTGCAAGCATAGAAAGGAGCCATGGTGCATGTGGGTGAGGCTAAGAGGATGAGGAGAGAGGGAGAGAAATTATTCCATGATATACACATCAAAGCCTGTGGAGGGGCACGGTTATCATGTTGAGTACTATGGTGGGGTGGGGTGGGGGTTAATATAGCGTTGTGGTGACAGGCAGGAGAGCGATCGCAACAAGGGGAGTTGGATATGCTTTCAACTTAGGTTGTCAACACTCATGCTTGTTTGTTTTTGCCCAGAGTTTTCAATTTTCCACCTAACAGCATGAAATAAAATAACCTTAATGACAACTTCAGGGCTCAACAGACTCAAAAAATAAATAAATAAAAACAAATACATCTCAAATACCACAAATAAACCAACACCCACAAACTTGCAGACTGCTTATCATTTGCAGCAACTAACCATCCCGCTCCCAAACACCCTGACTCCTCTCAGCTTTTATCTGGGCTAAGTTGCTCCATACTGGCTTCATGAGCAGCATCATTCTTTCTCCAGATGTGCCATGTGTGAGATGGGAGCTTAAGAGAACCAGCAGATCAACCCTGCACAGCAGATGCTGGAGGCAAAACCAGCTTGAGCCAAAAGAGAATGTGGGGACAATATCAGCCTCCCCCAGTCATGACGTGGCTGGGTTTTTATTTGAGCCAGAGATGCCAGGGGTGGAAGAATAAAAGGCAGAAAGAGAGCACAGCATCCAAGAGGGTGCTTTGATCTAGGTCAAACATGAATGCTTCAAAATCTTACAGTGAAAAGCCAATAACTGCTGATTTACAGGTGGATTAAACAAACCAAGATGGTCATAAACCCGAGCCTTGATGCTCTGACTGCTTGTAGAAAAGAATACTTCAACAAACTCAACCACAAACCCAAACAAACCACAACGCCCCCAAGGCCAGCAGATCCATGGCAAACACTCAGACACACCTCCAACAGATCATGTCATACAACAAGGTCCCCTTGAAACATAATAACCCACTGGAGCCAGTTTTTGTTTACCTTTTATGCACACATGTTTGCCTCCGTCCCCTCACTTATACCCCACCACCCTCCATCTATCCAGTCCCATGACCAGCCCAACCCCGAGGCCATCTCCACCAGTCTTTCACTAACTCCCTCCATCTAGTGTATCCTTCACTCAGCCCCCCCCTTTCCTCACCCAACCCGTCTGTCCCCAGATGCTAGAACAATACTGCAGTGTGCATTTGGCCCAAGGTGTGGGAGGGCTGCACTAAGCGAGTCCCTGCCTCCCAACAATGCTAAAGAGCCGGGGGTGTCACTGACAGACTCAACGAGAAGAATTCTCCCTCCGGCTCCTCCCCACCCATTCCCCTGACCTGCGTCCCCCAATAAACACCCCCCTCCCGCGTATCCACCCCGGTCTATCTGCTAGGCACCAGGCTGGCAATAGGCTTGACCCCTTATCCCTTGTGGGAACACTCAATCACAATGAATATGGTGTTTGTCTAGGGCTGCTCGACTACAACAAGAATTAAAATCTGAATTTTTCAGGCCAATATTAATGTCATCATTTCTCAGAGACTTTGGGAAAAAAGCATTTCCTTCAGCTTTAATTGCAATTCAACAGAAATTAAACAAATAATGAAAAGAGAAAGAAATACGACCCAAACTAAACGTGTCCCAGCCTGCAGGAAGGGAAAGTGGGCTTTTAGGGAGCAAGAAAACTAAAAGAAAGTGTGTGGGGTTGAAACACAAGAACAAGAGAGACACTGTCAAATAATCATTTTATCTCCGCTCTTTATCTTATTTCAATAATCGTTAAAAGCCAAAATTATAACTGAACTTAAAGTTTGATTAATGATGCGGCCCTATGTTTGTCTCTACTAAAATGACAGGATGAAAATTACATATAAAAAAGAAGCCTAAACATATCTTAATTTCCCTTTTGGAGAATTAAGTGTAGTGATATTATCTTACACCCTCATTTAGACCAACACAGTAGTGTTTGTTTGGCCATCAAATCAAATGGGTCAACATACATCATCTGACCTGACTACAGCCGTATCCTGAGCTGGTTCGGGCACATATCGCTGATCTCTGGTGAACAGGCGAGATGGGGATTAAATTTGTCATTTATACTCAACAACAAAAAAACAAACAAACAACAAAAACAAGGAAGTAAATGAGGGGTAAGAGAGAATGGCTGTCAAAAACTTGGTGTGACAAATGACAATTACACATCTCTCTGTGTCATCATGTTAAGAGGAATACCAGCCACATAGTCTCTGCACACAACCATGACAAGAAACTTTCTCTATCACTCTGTAACATCTAGAGTGGGTTTAACACACCCTCAGCCGCCCTCCTTTAAATACGTATTAAAATAAGTGTATGGACTGCCCATTTTTCACCATAAAAATAAAACTTTTCTGAGAATTTAATTAAATTAAAATGGTCGTACATATGTGACTTCATATCTAATCTCAGAAAACCTTGTCTCCTTTTGCCTCCGTTTACCCTTTTTTCCCCCCCTCTAGTGAGCACGGGGAACAATCTGACCATAAGACAGCATCTAGAGAATTAAGGACAACGGCCCCCTTCTCCAAGGATACCCACATTTAACACAGCTGCCCTGGTGTGCTACAGATAATTGAATTAGGTTTAACAAATGCAGCAGAGGCCTGACTAACATCAGGAATGGGTGAATAGAACAAGACGTTGCCTCATAACACCGTAGTTCCCCTTTAATGTACTGCTTCATAATGCTGTCTCGCTTACACTGCTGCCTATTATTTCAGCAGTACTGTGTTTGCTGTTTTGTTTACTTTAAAAAGGCAGACCAAGTTGAGGAAGCATAAAAACAAAAGATAAATAGTTCAGAAAAAAAGAAAGAAGGTTTTAAGCTTTAATTCAATCTTTATCTACTCAGCTATAACCATTTATGAGGAAATGGCCTGAAAAACCTCTCAAGACAGCGTCTGGGGTCCTTGTTGCTAGGGAAAAGCCTCACCAAGCCCCTAATCCACTCCTAGTGCTCTCCTTACCAATTAGAGATGTGTACAAGTTAGTGGATCACTTTAAGTCATTCTGATTAGTGATTGCGTGTACAAAGGAAGGAACTAAATGTAGTAGTACAATCCTCTTCACTCACAAATCACAGACAAATAGCACCCCGCTCTTAATTCTCGTGACAGCCCAAGCCATTCTCTGAATATGAGGTAGGATGTGGCAATTTAAAAAGGAACTGAGCTCCCCCCCTACTGTAGGACTAATGAGAAAAATGTCCTTTGACACCGAACTGTACAGACAAATTTGCCCTCCCTGTTTTTATGAGGTCACTAAAAGAGTATTGTAGAAGTGTTGCTTGAACTGTAATAAAAAATGACGAAGCAATAAAAACATCTCATGGACATCAATAAAGGCAGTTCACATGCAATAAGACGTGAGTGTTTTGAATTAAAAAAAAAAAGGCATTCAAGAAACTGATACCCAATTATACCTACATCGAGCTTTAGCTAACTACACACTCTTTAAGTGCCTATTAAATAAAGTGGAGTCATTTCCTGTAAGTATGACCCGTGGTTTCAGTCGTCTGCAAACAGGATAAGCCTTTAATCATAAGATATGCCCCAAAGTTATAGCCAGAGCCCAATAATCCAGAAATATGGATGACAGGCTCAGGTGATGCTGTGTCATCCTATTACTGACATCTATTTTCACTCTTTCAAACCTTTTCAAACGCTGCCTCTGGGCAAGCAAGATGTCACGCTCAGGGCAACCTGATTTACTCTCCCCTCCTTGTCCAGCACTGCAAGTGACACCATCTATGGATTTTGGGGGGTCATTCTCGCACAATGCCTCTAATTTAGCTCCCTAAAGGGAGGCGGAGGTGGAGGAGCAAGAAATGCGCCAGAGGTCACCCGGGACAGAGAGGCAACAGAGCTGCATGAGAGGCGGGGGGTTGGGTAAGGGGTGCGGTTCCCCGAAGGCTGCCAGGGTCGAGCCCTTGCCATTGTGCGACCTCTAGCAAGCTAGCGATCAAGACTACTGCTGGTGAAAGGACTAGCTGCGATGTACAGTGAACATCTAAAAGTGCTCCACAACACCTTCACTGTCCGATATGTATCCCTTCATTTTCGGCAGTTATCGGTGATTAGCAGTTAATTGTGACATGCAATTAGTCACTTGACAACAAACAGCCTCCGGAGCGATATTAGCTAGCAGGTGTCAAACTGGAGCAGGTCTTTAACTTGCCCGGTGAGTGGGCACACAACAGTAACTTGCATAGTACAATATATTTTGAAGTGATTTTGTTTTTCCACTCTGTCACCCCTTAGCTTCGGTACAGGGGCTTTCCAATGCGGCCACTGGTCACCTACCTCCGGCTAAACAGTAAAGCCGCGGGCGGCTTGTGAAGCTAGGCTAGACATTAGCTGTGGTCGTTAGCGCACACCGATGCTAACTATTTAGCCGGGAGAAGGGATTGTGAAGCTTAGGTAAAAGCTCATTTTCCTGCCAGGCTGCGCTTTACAATTTGAAGTAACTTCTATTATGTGTGACAGAAAAGGGAAACAGGTAATGACATTAAGGTATACCGACGGTGTGACAGGTATTTCACGTTACGTAGTTAACTAAACGAAAGCGTCGTGGAGTTGGGCTAACGTTACCTGTTTGGTGGGATCGTTTCTCCCGTGCTCAGAAGACAGGTGATGTCTCAGCAGCAAGGCCCGCTTGTAGTTGCGACTGCCTTTGACGAGCTCGTCGCTGTTTTTAGTGGCAATGTTGTGACACCAGGAGCACGACATGAGTCCAGTCTCCTGGCAAAATTTGAGCCATGGAAATTCTTGCAACCATGAAGCGTGGAAAAGCGAGTGTTTCTGAAGCAGCGTCTGCGGTCTCATCTCTACCCCAGATTTCCTGGATCCCGTCTCGCCTCCCCTGGCAGTCTCCTGGCCGTCAGCGCTGTTGCTGTGACCGTTCCCCGCAACCCAGTTTTTCCCGTCCCCGGACCCGTCCTCCGCTTCCACCGAGTCGACACGATCGTCGCCCTCCGCAGCTGCCCGACTGCCCCCTTCCGGGTCCTCTTCTTCCTCCGCCTCGGGTTCCGTGCTATCGCTGACAGATCCAGCGCCCTCCACTCTCTTCTGCGATGGTCCTTTCGCCCCCAGATCCCTGTCCTCCTCTTGATCCGGCCTGTTCCCGTTAAAATGTCGATCTTGACAGGCCGGGGCCTCCCAGCTGTTACAGTTCCCCCCACCGATACCGCTGGAACCCGTTAACCCAGCTAATCCACCTCCTCGGAAAGCCAGCGACCTGCGGTTTCTCTCACCGGACATTTTTTTTTCTTAATATATGTTAGAATCTTCACTTTCTCAACAGTATCCCCCCTCCTCCGATTAAAATGCTGTGTTTATAACCGATGTGTTTTCCGAAAGAGATGGACCGTCGTCGTTTCTGCGCTCCGCTCGGCCCTCCCGGTGAGAGTATGTAGGTTATGCGGAAATAAATAAAGGTTTTAAACGCATAATGAATTTCAGGGTTCTCGCTGCGTCCGCGCAGGCCCCGCAGAGGTCGAATGGCAACGACTTTCCTCCCCACAATGCACCTCGACCAGAGGGGGCGGGGGGGAGGGGACGTGTTGGTGGTAGTGGTGGTGGGGGGTGGCTTTTTAAAGGAAGATGACGGGGGGGTGTAGATCAGCATGGGGTCATTTGTGCTTTAAAAAAAAGCACCCATTTTCCGCATGCTTTTCATCTGATATCTGTTTGTTTTATTAGACCGCAAATGTCAAATCACATTCCTCACGGCGGGGTGTCCCAACATTCACGAATGTCTGCAGTAGGAAACTTGTCGGGTGTCTTTTTTATATTATCCATTTATTTACTTTTTATTATAGTGAATATATGTATTATACATAAATAAATAAAGGTTGGCATTTGAATATAAAGAAGTGGGGCCAATAAATATACATAAAAGCATGTTAACCGAGATATTTATTCCAAACAAAATTGCTTACACTACACTAATATTAAGTCAAGATTCGACATTCAACACCACAATATTCCCTCTGAGCTTTATGTGGTGTGTGTAAGAATGTTGCCTTATATTTTGTATGTGCTCGAAGTACATTTTCATTTGTGTGTTTTTTTCCAGACCTCCTTTGTTGAGTTTGCTGATGCATGTTGAACCCTAAAACAAAGGTGTTATTCATTAACTGAGATTTTGTATATATATTTTGAAACGCGCGTGTCTGAAATAAAGTCACGCAATGCGTTTGGACTCTGGAGACTCCAGCCTTGTATTCTCGCGTATCTGCTCGTCTCCCACTCCTTGTGATCAAAACGAAGTCCAGTAGGTGGCACTCTTTCATCTGAGCGTCTTTTCTCACCCTCAGTGTGTGTCACATTGCTTGGTGTATAGTTTCATTGCTTCCCAATTAAGAGCTTTGCACACACAGCGTGTGAACAAGAGTGGGAATTAACCCGGGTTTGGATGACAGTAACGTGGAGGATTGTATATCCCACAGGAGTGGGTAAATCCCCGAGAAGAAGACAAGGAATGTTTTGTATGGCTAGTGTGTGTGTTTATTCATCTAGCCCGTACACGCTATCAGCTGGAAAATAAAAATATAATGGAACTAAAAAGGAAAAATAACTGAAATTCCTTCGATTCTGTCATACTAAAATGCAGTGTGTCATCTCGCATCAAATGAACAGCAGGCCTCGCAGGTGGCAGTGAATTCTGTCTCAGCAGAGCAATGACTGCTGTATCTTTAAAATTAGAAATAAATCTTGAGTTGACTTGATTGTAAATGGAGGTTAGTTTGAGCTTAAGAAAGATATGCTCAAAACAATATTTAGCCGAATATATATAACTCTTAAAAAGAAACAAAAAGAAGAAAAACAAAAAAGAAATAGAAACTAATATTTAAGGCAGCCATGATAAAAATTGATATTGATATATAATTTCATTCTTCCTGTATATGTTGGCGTTACATGATGTGGAGCAGCGGTATTTTCCTCACTATCAGTATTAAAAATAAAATGATAATGATTTAAAAGCCCGATTTAACTGGCTTTTCTTTAAACTGATTTAACTGTCGCCGCCTGAGACTGGCACCAGAAGCAACAGGTTTGCATGTGTCATAGTCTTCTTCGCATTTTACCTGACACTGTATCTGTAAGAAAAAATAAAACAACATATATATACTACTACACTATTGCAGATATATATACATTTTACATATAGGCTACATACTCTTGTTGTACAGTAAAAAAACAAACAAACAAACAAAACAGAAACACAAGTAATGACGTGTCCTTGTTGCGCAGCTTTGCATTGTTGTTGGGCTAAAACTTGATCCACGTGCTTGCTTCTGTTTACACTGCTGCGTGCTGACGTCACCGCGAACCCCACCCCGCACGGCGGGCTGCCTGGCAACATGAGGCAGAGAACAGGAAGACCCACAGCAGGAAAGTGAACAACCTGAGGACCCTGAGTAGAAATCGACGAGAAACAACGCTTTGGACGGACAATGGAGGATGCAGACAAAGGTAATTAAATCATCGACGCGTGCCAGTGTCGTAATAGATGTTTTAAAACTACTTTTTCCTTAGAGAAAAGTTAGCGGACTAGCTAACTTTGTGCTGTGACTCAAGTTAGTTCGTTGAGAGCATATGCTACCTCTCGCCATACGAATAAAGTGAGTTATTTTTGCGACGGACAACAGTTTGAAGAATTTGAATAAGAAAATAACTTTTTTTCAGCAGCACCACTGCAACAGATTTCTAGAAAAATGACACGGAAGTGCGGTGTCACGCCACAATTTGTTTTTTAACCACCCATTAACTTATTAGGTGAAACCATAAACGCACATTTCAGTTTTTGTGTGAGTTAAAAACCTTGACAGGCAGTGAAGAAAAGCAGTAAAACACTAGTCAAGAACATATTTTGTAACTGACGGCGTAGCCTGTAAAAATGGGTTACACCTGTTTGACAGCTCACTGCTATAACTAGTTCAGACAAGTCACGCTGTGCTCTTATGCTCTTTCAAATGGTTTTTTACACTGAAAAAAAAGTTTTATTTTGAAATTTACGAACACTTATTCTGTGCCAAAGTGGTTGTGAGTTGTGGGTTTTGCTGATTTTTCTCGTGCCAAACTATAGCACTATCAGTTAACCACAGGTATCCTACCTGCATTTCTGTCTTTCACCTCGTTACTCTTCCTGCACGTTTGCTTTCCTATCAAGCAGCTGTTCTGCTCTCTTATGTACTTAAACACAACTGCTCCTGTCTCAAGTCCATATGTCTTTGCTGGAGTACAGAAAAGTCCACATTTGCACACAAAAAAGCTTGTATGTCCAACTTTTTGTGATTTTACTCATAAACAGCATGATCCATTCTTCTCTGATCTTTGTGTTATTTTATTCTACTTAATTTGCACTAAAGTGCTTGTGGAAAGAAGCAAAGCATCTGAGTTTTATTTGTTCATTTAAAATGTCATGTTGGAATTTTTGACCAAATTTCCCTGCAGCACAAACAGCCTTCACCCTCCTCTGGGTTCTCAAAAGTAATTTTCTGATGGTTGAAAGTTGTTTTGTGTGTTTTGTTTTTTTTTTCTTCTTCTTCCCTTTTTAATAACGCAGAGCGAGAAAGCCAGAACAAATGTTGCGTATGAACACCAGAATTATTGATGTAACTGGTTCCTGATTGATAATTTGTGCTTCTCCATATCAGAAGAAATGAGGTGTGTTTCTGCATCACTTTCTGTGTTGCTGCCAGTGGACACAATAGAAAAGAATGCTTTACTTGGCTTTAAATGCCACGCTTGTGAAGCCCATTCCTGAATTAGAGTTGCAGGTCCTGAACACATCCTTAAGTAAATGGTATCTTAGTAACTGTTTGATCTGGGTTCTCTTTGCTCATAAAGGTTTCTTGTGGTATGCTTTGGAGGGTTTTCCCTTCCCACATGACATGTTTTTTCACTGTGTGCGTGCGGCGGATGCACCAGTTAGATATCTTGTCTTTTAGTGGTTTTATAAGTCATTTGCATGTGACCTTAAAAAACACAGTTTGAAAAAAGGTGAATGCCAGATTTCTTTTAAGGCCGTGCACACTTGCACTACAGGCTATTGTTCATCAAAATCGCAATAAAACAGGCCTGTACCACAAGTAATCACAAGAAAGTGAAATTGCATAGTTATCAGATAAAGGGGAAACTCTTTGCCAATCTCTAACTTTACTGCAGCCTTGAGGTGGTGTCTGTTTACCTCTCTAGGCAGCAAAAGTAAACGATCTGCCTCTCGAGATGTAATTTTATCACCTTAAATATCATCATAGGAACTGCTGTGCTCTCTGAATTTATAGTCGCACTGCTGTACAGGCAGCCAAGTTTGTTTCAAGGTCAGACTTTTGGTATGGTAGCTGTATTTTACTACCATCTGTACCTGCATCCTCCTCGTAGAAGTTGAGACCGCTCAGTGACAAGTATTTGCTTGCTTCAATACAATAATCTCCCTTTACGTTATTTATTTATGTATTTATTTTAAGGGAGGGTTTCATAGGTTAGATGTTTCAATCCTTTGACAGTAATTCAGGTAAAGCATTTGCAAATAACTTGGTGAACAGGTTTTTTTGCAGGACCAAGGTCGGAGAGTGCTCTGACTGGTGCCTCTCAAAGGAGTCTGCTCTCCCCTGATTGTGTGTCTCTGTGCAGATGATCTTTGGATAACAAACTTGTCTGTTTGTGTCCTCCCTTTTTCTTGCAGTATAATGTTATTTTTTCCATAGTGAATGTTTTTTTCCCCTTAAACTCAGGTTCAGTGAAATCTGTGGTTGACTCAGATGTGCCTTATGATCTTGTTAATCTTGATTTGTTCATCAACATTTATAGAGCTTGAATAGACTACAAAGAGGTTATTGGTACTCTGATAGATGCCTGAACCTAAACGCCTTCTCACTCAGTCATATTGTTCCAGGTCAATGTCAAGGACTGTAGAAAGTTTTTGTACTCCAGACTAACTTTTATTGTTGTTTTGAATGTTGCCTGTTTCATTTTCTGCATACAGGCTTGTGGCTTGAATCAGTTCAGAAAGGACGTGGTCAGGTTCACCAGCCCATGTTGTTTTTCAGCTACCGGTCTAATGAGATTGATCAGGAGCAGAAGCCAACATTTTTTGGCGTTATTAGATTTCTGCGATGCACAACTGTCTGCTTTCAGCTGTCAGAGGAAGTCTCTCACGAACAACATCCCCACCCCAGTAATGCAGATCCGGTCGTTTGAGCTGGAAATACATTCAGCACAGCCAAATCACACTTTAAAAGCTGCAAACACTGCATGTGTTTATGTAAAGGCTTGCTATGATTTTTTTCAGTCATGCCAATAAATGTCATATTGGGCTACAAGCTGTGTCAGTCTGGGCTGGACCTCCCATTTAGTGAAAACCAGATGTGTGTTTACCAAAACCATTAGTATTACTCAGAAATACACCTG